ATTTGATTAAGGAATTGGTAACTTATATCAATTAGTCCTAATTGATGGATGGTTGATGGTTGTGTAGTGGAGGATGGTTCATGGCTAGTTGATGACAATTAGTTGCTCTATTCCTCTTCCTATTCCATTGGTAACTTACATCAATTACTCTTAATTGATTGTTGGTTGATGGTTGTGTAGTGGAGGATGGTTCATGGCTAGTTGATGACAATTAGTTGCTCCATTCCTCTTCCTATTCCATGACTCTTACTCTTCATCTTCCATTCCTCTTATAAAATGGGAATGGATTTGATCTCCTGCGAGAAGAAGAAGACACACTTTCATCCATTTTCCAAAGCTGTTGTTGCTACGGTAATCCCATCCCGACGAGTGTGTGCACACGCGTTGGGAGAGTAGGCCTTCGAAACCACGCGTTGCTGCGACGTTTGCACAGACGGGCGGGCGATCAGGTTTTTGGGGAGCGCAAGGCGCGACTACTCACTGTTCGTCAACATCTACTTCATCTTCACCAACATGTCGAACACTGGAGACAAGGAGAAGGAGACTCCCGTCAACACCAACGGAGGCAATACTGCCTCAAACTCCAGCGGAGGACCATTCTTGGGGTATAACCTTATTACATTATTTCAATTAGAAGTTTTACTGTTAATGTTCATCGCAATGTCAACATTGTGTCATTATGTGATTGTTGATGCTTATTCAACGTTAAGCATGCTCATGTTGATTACATTCACCACTATCACTGGATCAAATCCTATTGTAAATATCATGTTTATTATCTTGTTATTTTGGATTAAAATATGCCGAATTATGACCAAATTTCCAACAAAGGTATAATGGTTTTGAGTTCGCCTATAAGGCCCTGGAAAATGTAGAGCCAGCGGCCCTGTGTAAAATTTTAAGATTTTCACATAGTTTACACTACTGGAGAAACAACTTTCGTCGGTTGCCTAAAATCCACAATAGTCCCGGTTCAGTAAAAAACCGGGACTAAAAATGCTTTTTAGTCCAGGTTTATAAGTGTAAGGGGAATATATGATCTTTAGTCCCGGTTGATAACACCAACCGGGACTAAAGATGATCTTTACTTCCAGTTCCACCCTGTGTCAGAGGCTGTCAGGTCCCAGAGATCTTTAGTCCCGATTTGTAATACCAACCGGGACTGAAAATGCTAACTTTAGTCCCGGTTGTTGTTTACAACCGGGACTAAAGCTTATGTTGATCTTTAATCTCGGTTGTTATTATCAACTGGGACTAAAAATCAATATACCGTATATAATCCCTTGCACTTATCCTCAAAAATTTCTATCTCCTATTTTTCCCCCTCTCCCTCACACTCTTATCCATATCCACTCATTCTCTCAACCCCCACTCCTCCCCTCTCCTCCTCCGGCACCCTCCCCTCTCCTCCCCATCCTCCCCTCCGGCGGGCGGCGGCGGCCAGCGCGGAGGCTGGTGGCACAGTGTGTGGCCACGGCCGGCGCGGCGGCAGGTGGCGCGGCGGCACGGCGGGGGATGGGAGGCGGCGCACGGTGGGCCACAGGCGGCTACCTCCGGGGAGGCTGCAGGAGCGGCTCTGTGCTTTTTTATTTCTTTCTCTTTTCTTTCTCTTCTCTGTTCTTCTCTGTTCTCTGTGATGAATGCTTGTTGTTGTGAAGATGGTGTAGATATAAAGATGTGTAAAGAATATGGATGATTTTGTTGTTGTAGTTGTGAAGAAGTGTAGCTATGAATTAGTTTTGAAGAATATGGATTTTCTTGTTGATTTTATTCATTTGATGATTTCGGCTTTGTTGTTGATTTTATTCATTCGATCTGTGATATTTAAGTGATATGTAGAAAGCAAAAGAATAATGAAAAAGAAAAAAGGACCTATCGGGATGAAAGGAAAAGAGAAAAAAGAAAAAAAAACTTTTTAGAACCGGGACTACATATGTAGTTGTAGTCCCGTACCAACCGGGACTAAAAATCTATTTATAGTCCCGGTTATTTCAATCGGATTATATTCCTAGTCCCGGTTGAAGAACCGAGACTACTGTAGTTATCAACCGGGAAGTAAAAACCATTTTACTAGTGTATGACCGTCGTAGTGCTAATCATGCATGTGGTCACTGATGAATGGCATGCTATTCCGTTCCAACTGCCCAAGCTAACCAATGTGTGGACCATATATACGGAAATAAAACGACCAGCCTGCTGAGCGACCGTCAAATGGACTATCACTAATACATAATCTATTTTCGCAGGCGTATTGATCACCCGTTTCGTATTATTTGTTCGCTGTCTCGTACCTTCTTTTTAAAACGGTTGGTCCGTCGGAATTATCAGCGTTTGTCTCTTCCTAATACTCCTATTTTCCTAGACTAATGTATTAAATAAGGTACACCGATCCGGTGACAAACAGATGTTGATTTGGTATAATATGGCACTACGACTTATTTACAATGGGATGAAGTGTCTCGTCTCATCTATGACGGGAATAACTATAGCTCGTCGAAAATGAGACTGTGAGGCGTGGCCCGTAACAGGCAAGAGATAATCCGTAACGGACATTTATATAAACTCGATACACAACACCTCCGACGGGCCCCTTCACATGAAAATCGCAAAATCTAAGCCGAAAGCGCTCTCGATTTAGTGTTAAAGAACGACACACTCATTCGTGAGAGAAGGTTCAGTGCTACTAGTACGTGAGAGAAGGTCATGTGCTGCTAGCACAGCTACCTGAGAAAAGGTCCAGTTGTTACTGGTGCACACAATGCATGTCTATTTTTTTCTTTTTATAGAATTTTCTCTCAAATTACTTATCCGATCTACAATCTGATTACACCTTTACGTTCGTTGTAATTAAATCTTTACAACAAGATCTTACATGATTATATTACGATGAAAAAATATTTATATTTATAAATTACTTTTATTATATACGTAAGTTACTTTTATCATATATATAAGTTACTTTTAGATTTGACTAAATTACTTCTATACATTCATAATGCTCTAAGTTGATTATTTTTATTATTGTTTTTAGTTAATTCTATATTTTGTGGACTTTATAAACCTTCTCTACACTTTACTTGCGAATTTACTCTATATAGTTTCTTATTTCAGCTCACTCACAATATAATTATTTCTACTACAGAGAGTTACTCCTCCCGTTTCATAATGTAAATCATTTTAGCAATGACCACATTCATATAGATGTTAATGAATCTAGATATAGTTCTAAATTAAAGTTACTTTCTTTTTGTTATAAGTTACTTCTATAATATATGTAAATTAATTTTAAGCTTTACTGAATTTACTTTTATATGTTTAAGAAGTAACTTAGTGAAATCTAGAAGTAATTTAGACATATCATAAAAGTAATTTGTGATTTTTCATCAAAATATAATCATGTGAGATCTTGTTGTAAAGATTTAATTGTTACGAACACAACGGTATAATCGGATTATAAATCGGATGAGTAATTTAAGAGAAACTTCTCTAAGAAAAAAAAATACATAGATATTGAGTGTACCAGTAGCTTTTTTTTTTTGAAAGAAAGGTGTCTCTCTTTAGCACTATCCAGCTAACACTATCGGTATAGTTGCGTCCCATGAAAATACTATAGCACAAATGTGGGCCACCCTCATCAAGGGGATTTTTAAAGTAATAGAAAAATGAGCCTCCACGTTCGCTCTCACGGATTAGAAATTCTCATATTAATTGGAGAAAAAGAAAAACAAAGTCTATATAGAAATATAATTTAGAAATAATTAAAATTCGGAATTAAAAAATAAGGAATATTAGAAGAGGAGACTAAAGTCCATATAGAAATAAAATTAATTAATAAAAAAATTCAGAATTAAAAATAAGGAATATTAGAAGTAGAGTATAGAGTTCATATAGAAATACAATTAAGAAATAACAGAAAATCGGAATTAAAAATAAGGAATATTAGAAGTAGAGTATAGACTCCATATAGGAATTTAAAAATAACTAAAATTCGTAATAAACATAATAAAATTAAAAGTAGAGTTTAGAGTTCATATAAAAATACAGTTTACAAATTACTAAAATTCAAAATTAAAAACATGGGAAGAAGAGTCTAAAGTCAATATAGACATACAATTTAGAAGTAACTGAAATTCGAAATTAAAAATTAAAGAATATTGAAATATGAATTTGGAGGCCACATAGAAATACAATTAGAAATAATAAAATTCAGAATTAAAAATAAATAATATTGGAAGAAGAGCCTAGAGTCTATATAGAAATACAATTTACAGATAACAAAAATTCAGAAATAAAAAAAGAAATATTGAATGACGAGTCTAGAGTCCATATAGGATTATAATTTACAAATAACTAAAATTTGATATTAAAAATAATTAATAACTAACACGTATATAAAATACAATATGAATATTATACATTAGTAATTTCATAAAGTTAGTACAACATTTAAAATTATGTTACCATTTTAATATATTTGAATAATACATTAAGAAAACATATATGCTATTATATGAGAAAAAAATATAATGATGCTAGCCGCGCAATCTACGCGGGCCACCATGCTAGTTTGGTTGATATGATATATATGTGCACTGTAATTTTGATAAAAATATTGTGTAAATAGATATGTATTAGTTATTGTCTTCTGTAGTCCGTTGGAAGTAAATCTAAAAATAAAAAATTTTGAATGTTTTTTTGAAAAAAAAATCACCCGCCGACAAAATGAATAGGCAGTTCCCCGATTGCAAGGCAGAGAAGAGTAAAGGGAGGTTGCGGGCTGGTGGCCCGAGAGGCCCGTGTCGCCTCTGGGGCCGGCGGGGGCGTACGAGACGCGGAAGCTACCGACCGGTTTTTTCCGTATATAGAGAAAAAATCAAAAAAGTAATCACATCAAGAGAAACAACAAGATCTCGCACGCACGGATCTCAAAGCGCTCCAGAACCTACCCCATCTGCCACGATTCGTGTAAGCGGATAATAAAAAACCGAGCGCAGCAGAGCAGAGCAGACACACACGGGTCTTTTGCCTCCGCCACTCTCCCTCCCATCCCTACTCCTCGTCGTTGCGCCTCCCACGCACCTCCATGGCCGGCGGCGTAAGCGACGGCGGCGCGGCCCACGGCGCGTCGGGGAGGCTGGAGAGCATCCTGTCGGACTCGTCGATGCCGCTCGCCCGCCGCGCGTGGGCGGCGACGACCATCGAGCTCGGCCTCCTGACGCGGATTGCGGCGCCGGCGGTGGTGATGTACATGATCAACTACCTCATGTCCATGTCCACGCAGATCTTCTCCGGCCACCTCGGCAACCTCGAGCTCGCCGCCGCCTCCCTCGGCAATAACGGCATCCAGATGTTCGCCTACGGCCTCATGGTACGCCCCATACACCCCCATGTATTTATTCATGGCTATATTTTTCTTCCTCTATCCGTGCTGGGAGATCCTTAAATCCCATCGAGTGTCTCGTCATTTTTTTGGCCATTTTTGGCTTAACCAAAAGAGGCAGAGATGGGTGCAGAGACGCGTGGCGCTCGAATCCTGTTTAGACGACATGAACACTTCATCACGTTCGAACTATTCGATCTTAGGCTGCGTTTGAAGGGCGAAGATTTTCTGGTTTTCGGTATAATTTTCTTGATTAGTGTTTCTTTTGATCGTACAATTTAGGCGTTTCAAACAAGAACTCTGTGTCTTTTGACCCTTTTTTTTTCTTTCGATGAAGCCGTTGACCAATTCACCCCACCAATCAATGAGCATCACTGCACTAGTAATGATTTTAAGATGGTCTCCCCAAAGCCACGTGATCCGAGAAAACCCAGAAATCTCTCGTGTGTTTTTTTATTTGTATCGAAGGTTCTACCTCTCTGAATGCCCTGCAAGCTGATGCAATATAGTGGAGCAGAATATATTTCTGCTGTGTGCTTTGTTTCGATCACAAATTTGCAATAGGACTTGGCGAGCTCCCTGGATCGCCTCCTCCCGGCAAAATTTCAGCGAATTCCAGGTTATCAAATTTCAAAATACACGAGTACACGACCAGCAGAGGGTACAGACAGAATTACTGCTTCAACTACCGCTGGTTACATCAGTTCATACCGTCACCTACCCTGCGAAAAGCATGGGGTCAAGTCGAGACAAGTTTTATGTAGGATACCTACCTACCACACACGATAGAGCTGTATGTACAACTCCTCATGTTCAAAGACCTCAACAGCGTCGTACTGGCATACTGCCGCAATCACTGATATCAATCAACTCGGTAGGCAAGTGAGCTCGCCCCTGTTTCTTGGCCGGCCGATCGATCTGGGCCCTTGAGACCACGCCTTGGGACGGTTCGGATGACTGGACGCCCGCCGAGTCTTTGGTTAGCTTAGAGGCTCAGGTGTCTGGTCCAACTGTTGCTCCCTTGGCATATATAGCGAGTAATTCCAAGCAGGAAATCCAATTTTCCTGTGGCATATATAGCGAATAGTTGCAAGCAGGAAATCCAGTTTTTCTGTGGCTGTGGGCTGTTGCACGTACACAGGTCGCCACCAGCTTGTGATAATAACCTCACAAATCCAAAAAGGCTCATGTAGCCTTCTCATCGATCATCATATGGTGTTGGCTACTAGCCAACTGCTACCACGCAAGGAATGTGGCGCCAAATTAATACGAGAGGCGTGGACGGGGCCGGCACGCCGACTCTCTATCGTGTTCTCATCCGGAAAATCGTGGTGTTCGGTTTCTAGATTGTTACGCCCAATTTCATTTTTCCGTAGCAGGCCAGCCGCTGATCAAGGGGATTTTTTTTTTGTGAGGCGGCTTCGCAACCCTTGTGGCACCAATAGCGAATTAGAGATAAGATATGATCCGTACAACAAGTCAACCAGTCTAACTACTGCCTCCACTTTTTAAATACTCGTGTCCGTTTTTTTAATATTTATGCTAGCTAGGAGGATAGCTCAACTTTGAATTATGACCACTAATTATTTAAAGGAGTATATACACTTAAAAAATACTATGATATATTATTGGTAAAATTTGCAACAGTACACTCAAAATTTGTATATTTTGTTGGTAGATATCGTAAAAACGTGTTACGTCTGAAAGATACCTAAAAGGACTTTTATTTACTGGAGAGCACTTTCATCTCAATTGGGAAGAGAAATTCTTCAAAGAGACGAGAATATCCCTATCATCAAAAGTTTTTGAGCTGAAACTAGAGTGAAAGATAGAATATAATGTATGTTAGTGATATACTTGGGGTGTTAGCAAATTTAGAGTTGCATAATTTTTAAATTTGTACTCGAGCGTTGTTCTAGGGGCATTCTCGTTTTTCTTAAGAATTTATCTCTTCAATTAAGTCGAAAGTGTCATCTAGCAAATTACTATTTTTTAGGATATCTTTCAGCCGTTACACATTTTTCCGATGTCTATCAGCAAATTACACATATTTTGGGTGTCTTGTAGCAAAATTTGCTTATATTATTGAATGTTGTGGCATATGAAATATGACCCTATAACATTTTTCCGTTATAATATAACCATTTAAAGTTATTAGATATTCTAGGGTTCTACAAATATAATGGTTTCTGAGTGCTACTTCCTCTACCTAACTACTCAAGTAATTTGCACCCAATCTTGTCCCAACCACCATCTCACAATCAACACTTATTTAGGGACATTGTAAACTTTTCCTTTCATCCAGAATCACTCCAAAATAACCTTTGGTTCCTTGTATCAAAACCAAAACAGCAATAGTCATCTGACAAATACTTTCGGCCTTTTCCTGGGACCTGTATGTTTTGTCATTGACAAGTGATTGGTTCTTTTTTCATTTTTTGCCAAATGTCATTTTACAACCATTTTCTTCATTTATTTTCATTGACGTCAGTTGCCCGTTAGTTGACCTTCATTATCCCCATGCAAAAAAGTCAATTTTACCCTTAGAAGTCAAATATCAACCTAGGGGTACTTTGGGTTGGTTTGGTTTGTGGCCTAAATAGGCCTTACCAAATTTTGTCAGTGCCAAATTTTGGCAAGTTTTGCCATGATTAATTTTGGTAAGGTAAAGTTGTGTTTGGATTGAAGCCAAAATAGTTTAAGTTCACTATTGAAATGGCCAATTTTCTTAGGCATGCCAAAATTTGGCTTCAAACCAAATAGACACTATACACTATTGAAATTGCCAAATATTGATAAGCCTAATTTAGGCCTCAAACCAATCCAGCCCTTCATGTTTTCATACTCAAATTTTACATGAGCAACCTGGTGTTGTTTGGTTTGAATATATGACTGCTTTTATTTATCTAAATGTAGTAACAGACTGCTAACTTGATTGACATTATGTTTGATGCCAAATTTGATAATATGGATATTTTGGATGCGAAAATGGAATCAAATATTATCGAATGAAAAATAGAGTGAATACGATAATAAATATTTATTAGAATATAAAAACTCCGCAAACTGAGCTTACAATTTTTTTCATAAAAAGATATATCAAAAATTCCAAATTTTAGCAACTAACAATACAGTATAACATCACATATCACTTTGTCCAATTTTCATCTTTTGAGGCAGTAAAAATTCTCTGGAAAAAAATATGAATTCATTTCCGAGAAATTCTCCGGAAAGTTTCCGGCCGATTTCAAATCTCGACATATAGTGCCCCTACCGTATTCATTTTTGATAAAAAAGAATTATGAATTTGTTTTGGTTTCCAAAAATTTCAAAAAAATTCTGACGATCCTTTCTGTTTCCGAAAACAGGTCTGAAATCTGGAAACTTTCTGAACCGTAGGACTAGCTCATGTGTTGGTCTCACCAATTTTGACATTAACCAGACTAACTTTGGTAACTCTCACCTGTGTTGGTCTGTCTTTCACGCTGCTAATTTTTTGTTTCCATATCCGAGAATGATGTATTCTTGGTTGGCTGGCTATCTGGGAAATGAAGTGAGAACACCTATCCTAATTTTCATGCTAATAACAGGAAGATCTTAATTTTGCATTACTAAAATTCCTTCGCCTCTGCACTCTGTAGCTCGGAATGGGTAGCGCCGTGGAGACGCTGTGCGGGCAGGCGTTCGGTGCACACAAGTACGACATGCTGGGAGTCTACCTGCAGCGCTCCGCCGTGCTCCTGACCATCACCGGCGTCCCGCTCGCGGTCATCTACGGCTTCTCCGAGCCGATCCTCGTCTTCATGGGGCAGTCGCCGGAGATCGCCCGCGCCGCGGCCATCTTCGTCTACGGCCTGATCCCGCAGATCTTCGCGTACGCCATCAACTTCCCCATCCAGAAGTACATGCAGGCGCAGAGCATCGTGCTGCCCAGCGCCTACATCTCCGCCGCCACGCTCGCGCTGCACGTGCTGCTGAGCTGGGTCGTCGTCTACAAGGTCGGCCTCGGCCTGCTCGGCGCCTCGCTGGTGCTCAGCATCAGCTGGTGGGTCATCGTCGCGGCGCAGTTCGCCTACATCGTCACCAGCCCGACGTGCCGGCACACCTGGACGGGCTTCACCTGGCAGGCGTTCGCCGGCCTCTGGGACTTCCTCAAGCTCTCGGCGGCGTCCGCCGTGATGCTCTGCCTCGAGTCGTGGTACTTCCAGGTGCTCGTGCTCATCGCCGGCCTACTCCCGAACCCTGAACTTGCATTGGATGCCCTATCTGTGTGGTGAGTAAATCTCATCTTATATAGTCCCTCCGTTACTTTAATAGATAGCGCCATTAACTTGTGGATACACATTTGACCATCCATCTTATTCAAAAATTCTCTACAAATGCATAAGTTATAAATTATGTTTAAAATACTTCTATTAAAAAAACAACTCACAAATCACAACAAAACAAATGATAATTACATAAATATTTTGAATAAGACAAACGGCTAAACATGTGTCTAAAATTTGTCAGCGTCATCTATTAAAAAAACGAAGATAGTAATAGTATAATGCTTACTTACGATTAGCTTCACAAGTAATTTAGAATTGGTGATTACTTGCATTGTTTGTCTCTGGTGCAGCATGACGATTTCAGGCTGGGTGTTCATGATCTCAGTAGGATTCAATGCCGCAGCAAGGTAATTTGATTCTTGACCACTCAAATTAACAGTAGTCGGGCAAGCGCAATCTCCTGACTTCTGTTATCTGAACATTTTTCAGTGTGAGAGTGAGCAATGAGCTTGGTGCGGGCAACCCGAAGGCTGCATATTTTTCAGTGTGGGTCGTGACTATCTCCTGTGCGATAATCTCTGCCATCCTTGCGGTTGTGATCCTCTGCCTCCGCAACTACATTAGCTACTTGTTCACGGAGGGAGAAGTTGTGTCAAATGCGGTGGCAGATCTCTGCCCGCTCCTCGCCATCACGCTCATTCTCAATGGAATCCAACCAGTTCTGTCCGGTAAGAATTCAGAACTTGGTCCATTACATCTGACATGGTCACATCTTCACATTATCTTTACTTTGTGCTTATTACATAAATAGGCTTTCTCATGTTTAGTTTAAAAGAATAGTTCCATCCCTATTATACCGCGGGGGGCATTCTTCCTTTCCATGGATTTCAGAAAAAAAAAAGACCTCTACAGTTTGCAAATAATTCAGTATATGCATAGGGAAATTAGTAAATTCAGTATATGAATTTGTTGGCAGCATGCTGAAATCATAATTTGTTGGCAGCTGTAATAACATTGGCACAATTAATCCAGTATTTGACAAATGGATTATTTTTGGAATTTACACATGTATATTTTTGTAGACAATAGAATTTACACCAGCCTCCACATCCAAGATTTATGCCGCCATTTACACATGTATATATTCACACTAAACAAATAACTGGGACTCTGCCATCGTTATTGGTTGTAGCAAAATGTCGAATACTGATTAAATACTAATCCGGCTGTGCAATATATCATCTTTATAATGATGGCAAGCTCGCAACTAATTGTTGCTCATTTGTAAACATCAATTTATACAGGAGTGGCTGTTGGATGTGGATGGCAACAATTTGTAGCTTACGTCAACATTGGCTGCTACTATATCGTCGGTGTTCCCCTTGGTGTTCTTCTTGGGTTCGTCTTCAAGCTTGGTGTAAAGGTATAATATTGATTCTGCTGCACACTTTTTTTTTTGGCATTTCACGCTGGAATCATTCATTCCATCAGCTAAATTCTGTTCTTTGATTATTGAATCGGATTCATCCTCATAGGGCATCTGGGGTGGGATGCTTGGAGGAACATGCATGCAGACGGCCATTCTTGTCTGGGTCACCTTGAGAACTGATTGGAACAATGAGGTACCCGTCACTGGACCTATGCAGAAAGGAAAACTTTTTTTTTCTGTTTCTTACATTGGTATTAATTAAGAAAATTGAGTTGTGAACTACTCCCTAGTAGAATTTTATAATCCGTATTTCGATTTTAAAAACCCAAACTACATTACTGAAATTACAAATATATTTAGTATATAGAAGTATGCAAATAGTTTATTTCATTAATATAGTTAAAGTCTAATCTTCAAGACGTTTTGAAAATAAATACGCCAAGGTCCCAAGAGTGGAACATCCTCTCTGCAGCCATATCTATCAGCTTTAATTTAACATGGACCTCTTGTGCTGCACATGCATGCCTGCTATAGTGCTATCTCGTGGTTCAGAATCTTAATAGGAGTACATGCCGGTTACTAGAGAGTACTTCCATCATGATATGTTCAATTCAATAGACTGCTTATCACTAAACAGTGTACTACTATCCACCGGGTGTGTTCCTCTTTTGTCATAGTATTCAATAGTACAATCATTGGATCTTGATTTAGGCATTTAGCCATATTGTTTATGACCGAGGTGGCTTCACTCAGATATATATTTATTACAAAAGTAGACAACTACCATCTAACTGCATTATATTCTTGCTGTTGCTGTTGCTGTTGTTGTTGTTGTTTCTGTTTTGCTAATTTACAGGTCGAGGAAGCACAGAAAAGGTTGAACAAGTGGGAGGACAAGAAAAAGGAGCCACTTCTTACAGGGATTAGGGACAACAACTAAGTTGATGAATCAAGATTTCTTGTCAGTTCAACTATCCCCCACGTCGCCAGCATTTGCTTTGATATTTTCTACCAGCATGGCGCATGCAGAGGGAAACTGCAGGATCAGGCATATATCCGAGTTGGGAGACCAGTGAAAGATGTGCTTCATTGAGCTCAAATCTGGTTTACAATAACATTAGGTCATGTGGTTTACTTCCTTTTGGGACATCTGGAGATGTGGAACGATGCCTACTGAAACCTCAGAAATTTTGCAGTAGAACTAGAATGGGAGTGGTAAAGTGAACTGTTTTTAGAAATGGATTAAAAACTGGGCCTCTACATCCAAATTGGATGTACAAAGCCAAAAACAGTACAAGAGTACTTAGACTCACTCCTTGCAAAAGGAAACAAGCACCACAAAACACAACTTAGTGCTTCGACTCACACATCTAACATATAACTAACGAAACAAAACACATCCACTCACAACCACTACACTGGCCAAGGTCACCTGTGACAGGCCCAAACCCTCATCTTTGACGGCTTCGCGCGTGGTCAGTGATCAGTGGTCACTGGTGAGTCCAGTCACCTTTGACGGGTGGCCGGCCGTCACAGGTGACACCCATCTCTGACGGGCAAGTTACTAGAAGGCCGTCAGAGGTGTTGGTCTCCGCTAGCCTAGGGCGAGTTAGGACCCGTCACAGGTGACTCATCTCTGACGGCCCTTTAAATAAAGGCCGTCAGAGGTTGTGGTCTCCGTAGTTAGAAGCTGTCACAGGTGATCTACCTGTGACGGCCCCAAAAGTAAAGGCCCGTCACAGGTAGGTCACCTCTGACGGGCCTTACTTGCTAGTCCGTCACAGGTTAGGTTACCTTTGACGGATTTTTGTTCCGACTCGTCACTAATGAGTTAATTCCAGAAAAAAAATAAATGCTAAATATTGGCTAGCCTCAGGATTTGCTAGCCATGCCCTTTGAAACACAGATACATCACAGATATATTCCAGTCACAGATACATCACCCCCCCAATATAACATCACAGATCCATCTCAAACATCACAGATCCCCAACAACACATATATGCAGTTCAAATGCCACAATTTTGCACAGCAAATTCACACCCCTTGAAAGCCACAATTTCGGTCATTGCTCATAGAACCGCATATATACTTACCAAATGGATTAAAGCCATAATGTCATCGACCTCCAAAACCTGTCAATAAGGAAAAAAAAGGAGAAAACAGATGAATAGTACAACGTAAATCGTAGTTGATCAAATGTGATGACAATTTAGTAAACTACCATAAATATTGCACATATGAAAGTAAATTACATTGCACCCCATAAAAACATAATTTTTTACATCACAAGAAATTATAAAAACATATTTTTTACATCACAATAAATTATCTAGCCAAGTTCATGAGTCTATTTGACATGAAAACGTCCTTTCTTGTTCATTATTTCTGCAAGAATGAAGGCGCACACTTCGCCTCTGATAGCGGGGGGGTTGATAGGTGAGATCTTGAAGCCAGCTCTACCTTTCTGTTTAATAAATAAGAGGTTAATTAGCACGTTTTGAATAGCAATGTAGGTATTGAAATGAGCTTTTTCGCCATTAGCAACAACCTCAGGGTCGAAATCTTTCACCTCTCTTAGAAGTGTTGACATGTTGTGGCACACGTGGAAACCACATTGGTCTCCAATCTGTTGTGGGCATGCAAACTTGGTGTCATGATAAAGTTCGTCCTTGCCCTCCTTGTGCCTACCACCCTTTTCCACATATGGGCCCCAAGCCATATTTAAGGCCTTGGTGATTTCACTGAAATCATAATCTTTGGACTTATTGGAGTTAAGGTAGGTAACTCTACTCCACTTAGGTACGATGACTAGGAGAATCCAATGTCGCCTGCGCAGTGGTTATGTAGCGTTAGTACTAAGAACCTTAACTTCAAAAATAGTATACATGAAGGGTATTGGCCTCTTACTCTTGGTTGTGTGCGCATATGATGTACTCCTTGTCTTGATGGGCCCATAAACACCGGTTGACATAGTCAACCACCTCAGTGAAGCTCTATTGTAAATTAACCTCGTTCACCATGGATGGATCAAGGAACCCAACCTGATTACCAAGGCGACGACTCTCGATCCAACACAACCTTAAAACATTTACGTATTAGAACTAATTTAATTAGGAGATATAGTCCAATCATATCACAAGTATAGAAGGTATGCACTTACAAGGTGTAGTATTTTAGAAGACCAGTGTCCAACTTCCGGATCCTGAAAAGGTCGAAGAGGTCATCAAAGCCTATAGTTATATAGGCAGGCGACGATAGGAACGGCTGGTGATCGTGATGTCCAACTATGGATGACTCCCTCATTTTCCGCTTGGTATTGCTTAGCTCCTTGTATTGCTTATGTAGCTCTCGGCAAGCAATACCCATCACGGCTAACACATTGTCCTCCACCAATGGCATACCTAGCTCAAATTGGGCTGGCGCCCTCACGACCTTCCCTGCTTTGCTCACCGGCATCGACGTCGCAGCCTTGCCCCTTTTTGGCTCCGGCGCCAACTCCCCGACCTTCCCCTTGCCGCGTTCACGCTTCTTGCCTTTGACAAGTGGTGGGGAGCTATCGGCCTTTCTTGTGGTCTTTATTGGAGCCAAGCTTTGAGCTATATCTGCCAAGTCCATATCAGCTCCACCAGGAGAATGAGGTACTGACAATGCCGGTCCATGGGGAGCCTCAATTGATAGCTTAGACTTGGGAGGTGTAAGCTCCGTCGGTCGACTTGGACGAGGAGTCATCTTCACAACTATGTCTTCTTTGGGGCCATTGTATGAACGTCTTGCGCGCATCGCCCAAAGTCATGATTTCATCATTGGGGGGCACGGGCAGCGGATAGCCTGACCATGTGTCCTTTACTGTATCGATGGACACCTTGGCATACCCAGCTAGCAGGTCTGCGCTGTGGACCTTGTCTGTAACCGAGGGCTTGAAAGCCATGCCCTCAGCGACTTCAGGAGCAAAAGTTGGGTGGACTCTCGCTAGTAGGACACACTGTGCTGCGCCCTGCATAAGGTGAAAGTTTGAATTTAATATTGAAACGTGTAAAGGTTTTTTATTAGATATGGATCGGATAACAATAATTACCTCGATGTGGTCCACTGCAGCTAGTGGTGCGATCGGGAGACCAGGGGCCGGCACCTCTGTGGATGCACAACTACTCCTATGCTGTGACGGACTCGCGTCGTGTTGTGCACGAGGAGTTGGATGCACAGCAGGTGTTGTGACTCGGGGTATATTCATGTCGGCGAGGACCTTATTAACCCTTTCTTCCACCCTTGCATTCATGCTAGCTTCTAGTTCTTGAATGACCTCAACCTTAAGTTCGGCCTTCAAACGAGCGTCCCTCTCTTCCTTGGAGACTTTCCGTTTCCTGTATTGGGAGCTGTACTGAGGGAGTCCATGCTCCCAGGGCACATCACTACCAATTCCCCGAGTCAGGCCAGGATGTTCTTTGGTTCCGAGCGCCTTTGTGAGGATGTCATCTTTGCGCCTCTTCGGCGCGGACTCAACCTCGCTTTGTGAAGCTTGTTTAGCAACCGAGCCCAACTAGAAAAGAAAATAGTCGTTTATATGAACTTGTACTTTATATGAACGGAAATTAGTTAGGTTAAGTAGTGAACTCACCAGTTCCTGATAGACGACGGCATCACTTTTGTTCTCAAATGTGACAGAGCCGTCCGGGTTGACCTTACCCCTTGCCCGCGCCCAGTTGCGAGCTCTTTGTTCAGGGATGTCTGAAAACGGGGCAGGGACATTCGCTGCTGTAGCGGCTGCATCTTCATGGGCCCATATTGCCTCCTTGCCGATGTACCCTGCGGTGCCCAGCCGATGCGGGTGCTCATTCCGCTGTTACAGTAGGCCATGTGCCTCCCTTGATTCCCTAAACTCTTGGGTGTTCTTGAGAGAGCAGAATTCCTCCCACACCGCTTCGGTTATTTGAGAATATTCATCGAACGGCGTATGATTGCCGGGTGGGTTGACAAACTCGGTGAAGAGCTTAGACTTCCAATTCTTCCAAGCTTTGCCCATCTTTTGGAATGCCTTCCGCTTGAGCCTATCCTTTGCTTCAGCCAGAAATGTGAACCATTTCTCCATTGCCGTCCAAGCTCGCTCTTTCTCGGCTTCTGTGACCTTCCTGATATCTTTATGGAGGATCCCGAAGTTCTCACGTGCCGCTAGCCCGCAGCAGTTAGACCATCTTCCAATGACAGTCCTGGGTGCCGTGGGCCTACCACTAGCGTCAACCTCTCTTATAACTTGCACTGTGGTCGGCCATATATTTTGTGATCGGGGATTTCTACTAGACCTACTTGCACTTGTCCCGCCCGACATCGACGTATGTTGTTCCTGCGGCAATTCTGCAGCACAAACAGAAGGCAATATTTGCTAAGGGGTGCTAGCTAAAATTTATGTGGTCATGTGGTGAAAATTTATCCTATAAATTACCATGAATTTCGGGTTGTTCGACCGCCGTTGTCGAAGGATGACCTTCGGCAACTGTCTCCGTTCTTCCTGGATCCTCGCAGGTGTTGGGGAGGGCGGGTTTGCGCCGGGCGTTGCCATGGTCTAATTTTCGCGAAAAAGCTTATAAATTTCCTACCATTATACTAAATAGCATTATACTATGAAAGATATGGCCTCAGTTTTGCTCAGAAATATGCATCAATTACAATCATTTGCATGAAGGGATAAAAAGAGGAAATCATAACATGAAAAGAGCAAGTGCAGAAAATCTGTTCTTATGCATAAAAAAAGAACAAGTGTAGATACTCTGTTCTTATCCACAAAGAACAAGTGTAGAGGTATATAACCACTGAATCAATCATGCAAATTTAAAAAACAGCAGCAAGGGTACAGATAGAATGTTATTGACATAAAACAGTAGCAGCAGGAGTATATATGCCACAGGGGTAGCAACAGCAGGGGGAAATTCACATAAACAGCAGGGTGAAAAAGTAGCCACAGTAAGACCAATAGCAGGGCAAATATAGTCCACAGGGGCAGCAACAACAGGGGCAAATTAACTAAAACAACATGTCTAGATAGTCTTCTCTTATCAATCCAGAAGAAAAGAGCAAGTGCAGAAAATCTATTCTTATGCGTAAAAAAAGAACAAGTGTAGATACTCTGTTCTTATCCATAAAGAACAAGTGTAGAGGTATATAACCATGCAAATTTAAAAAACAGCCCACAATAAGGGTACAGATAAACTGTTCTTATTGAGCAATTCATCACTTATTGAGCCACAGCAGGGGCAAAAAGAAGAATAGATAAAAAAATGAACAAGTGTAGATAAT